CAGAACAGGGGCCGTCTTCATGGCTGAAAGATCTCGTCCCATCTTCGGCTTCCAAAGACTGCTACAAGGAGTTCCGGTAAGGCACAAGCGAACATCATTAATTGGCTTTGTTTACATTACTCTCGACCCCCTACAGCCCACTAGACAATGAGTCAAGCTCTATTTAAATCGTGTATGCCGAAGCCCAAAAGGACGATGACGATAACTCACAAACATAAGGAGGAGCCCTTTCGTAAATCAAGCATGCATTGCGCACACACATACACGTAAACATACATGCTCCCATGGTCAAATATCAGTCAAGTCCGAAGCTTTTCAATAAGCTTTCGGAACTCGGAATTTTCTCAGGTCCGCGCCGAGCTCTCCGAGCTGGTAATTCCCTCGGCGTGCTTTCTTCAATGGGGCTTGGGCTTTCGCGTTTGAAATTTTTAGTTGGGATCACTACTTTTTCGGAACAATTTAGGAACACCTTCCTTAGGGCTGATTCATAGAGGCCACCGGAACCATATATGCTAGATTTTAAGGCCCCCGAAAAACCTTAAACGCTCCATCCTAAACCCTATATAACCCCAACTCACATAAAAGGGCGTCTACATTACGTTTTGTCGGCGGCGTGCGTGGGTTTGTGGTTTCGGCCAAGAGTTCAAGGCTGATTGAAACGTAGTCGCAGGTGACACGAACTGTTTGGGGTTTAGGGTGTTTCGGGTTTAGGGTTTCGGAGTTTAGGCTTTAGGGTTTCAACGTTTTAGGATTACAGCTTAAATGCTTTGGGGCTTTGCCAGAAGCATTGCCAGGCACCATTTCTACAATGCCCTGCAACGCTGTCCTGCTAACCAGTCCTCCTGACATCTGCTCTGGAGGTTTCGGCTGTATGGGAGTTTCAGAAAACAGGCTGACCCCAAAGCAGACGCTAAATTCACGAATGAATAGTTGGGGTCTATTACTAAGGACTCCTATATACAAGGTACCCGTATACACCCTATAAACCCCAAAGCCTTATACAGGTTGGGACCCCCAGATCTGTGGGCCATTCCCAGGCCGCATCTTCATCCAAGCCTAGGAAACCACACCGGGAGCTAAGACGAGCTCTGATTAGGGTTTAGGAATTTGTGGTTTTGTTCTCTATGAGGTTTGATGTTTCGGTTCTGGGGTTTGCGGTTGTAGAAGGCCCTGTGAAGTGACGGGCGAAAGTACCGGTTCCCTCATTTTCTATCTGACACACTGACCCCACCCTGTCGATGCCTTTTTCTCAGGAAGGTGGCCAGGGGCAGGCCAAGTGCATCCGAGCGAGCTGCCGCAGACCTAGCAGACCAGGCCTTCAGGAGTGTTGCAGACAGGGGTACGGTGAATTAGAATCAGTTTTAGATACTACCCATAGGCTCCTAAGTAGTTCCTTTTTATGGTTTACGTTTAGAATCCTACAAGGTAATCCCAAAAAGGAACTACTTAGGAGCCCATGGGTAGTATTACTATCGATATTTGATGGCATATCCTCTGCTCATTGTAAGCAGCAGTAGCGCCAGCGGACTGATACTCCAAGAACACCCTGGGTTCCTTTGCATCCTCCTCCTTGGAGACACACAGAGCATCATCGTCAGTATCACCTCCCAAGTACGCATTGCCACCAAGTTTTTTGGCCCCCATGATCATCAGACAGGAATCTATTCTAAAGTTTCGGTCCAAGAAAATGTGCCCGGACTGTCCATGCAGTACATCAGCTTGCCGCCAGGTTTTGTTTTTCCGCTCTAGTGGACACTGCGTGTTTCGGCATCGCTGTAAGGTTAGAGGGCCCTTGGACGTTTGATGCCCTGTGTGTTCTTGGAGTCCATCCCTGTTCTGCCTATTTTCTTAAACCCCCAGACCGTGAGTCCCCAAACCCAACCCCGACACCACCCTTTAATAGCAACTCCTGTCTTCCGAGGTCTTCCTATTTGCGCGAACCTTTGTCCCCAGTCGGCAGCGGCCCCAGACATCCCTGGCAGCAGCGACTCCTGTGGTGTTCTGCCCTACTACAGTTGAGTTCCAAGCCTCAGCTGTGTTCGGGAGTGTTAGGTTTGGAGTTCCTGGTTCGAGGTGAGTCGTTTGGTAGTAGCCATGGATACATGTAGTAAAGGAACCGTAATTGTCAAAGCTGCGGTTGAGGTGAGCAATGCCTGTACATTGCATCATGCTTGTACTCCTGCAGTAAACTAAAGGATAGTATATAGATGTAAAACAAAGCGTACACTAGCACAATCATACTCAAGTGACCGTAACGAGCCCCAAGCGTGACCTGAAAGACTTGAAGGTTCACTAAATCTAAACCCTATACATCCTAAACCTTATACAACAGGGAAAAACCGTATACAGCCTACAGCCAAAATTCAACGCGAGGTTCATGTCCTCCTGCTGGCAGCGGGAGGCTTGCGCCCTGCCCCGGCAGCGTCTTGTGCCCAGAGCTTCCCCATGGAACATTACAGGGATTGTTTGCCTATAGACCCCCCCCCCCCCCCCCCAGCTCCCCCTGGTCTGTATCTTCAAACTGGACATCCTGTTTCTTTCTCGGCATCCCTCGCATTTACGAAAAGGAGGTCCAGTTGTAGACCACGAGGCGTCGAATCGGTATTTCCTTTATATATTACGCCCGAACCCGAAAACTCACCGAAGCCCTGCGTCCTTGGCCTTTGCCACGCGACATTCTCATGCCCTCAATCCTGAACCCCTCCTCCGGGCGGTCTCTACCCGCAAGCGTCGGACAGCCCAAGGCCACGCGAAGCGGAAGGCCGTGGCCACAAGTGTTTCGTGCTTCTGCGTGTTCAAAGATAGCGGATCCGGAGGTGAAAGTTCAAGCCAGGTTTCAACCTGGAGTTGTCGGTGTTTCGCAAGGGTTTTCCATAGCTCACTGGCTCGTCCACTCTGCCAAGCGCCAGATGGAAGACTTGCAGGACATGGCTGAACTCGTCTATAACTAGTCGGAGCCCGAGAAACCGCCAAAGACCCCAAGACACCCTATGAACAACTTCCTTTCAAAACCAGGAGTCAAAAGTTGGAAAAGATACACGTGAAAGTTACGACACTCAAAGCCTGAGAGTCCGTCTGGTTAGGTCCAAGACTTGTGCAGCAGACACAAAATGCAGCCGGACAGCTGCACAACCGCCCCAAGCCCAAAACCCTTAACCATGAACCCCGAAACCCTAAGCCCTATAAGCCCAAAATCCTGAAACCAAAACCTTGAACCCAGAACCCAAGATCTTAAACCCTGCACCCGCCCTCTTGGAAAGGCGCCTCCGCCTCCGGTCTCAGTCCACCGTCGACTGAGAGCTCCAAGTGGCATAGGCCAGGGTGTAGGCTGCCTTTTTTTCGAGTGTTTGTAGGTTTGGGGTTTGGGGTAAGGGTTCAGGGTTTAGTGGTTTAACGCTTTGGGCTGTAGGGAGTCCCAGCTGCAAGAGGGCTTAGGGTTCAGGGACCCGGAGCCTTCAAAAATCCCTTTGCTGCAGCTCGGAGTGATCTACTGTGCGATGCGATGGGCGGCCGGATCGAGTTATTAGGGTTTATAGGGTTTAGGCCTCGGTGGAGTCAACCGGCCGGCGGGCAGAATCGCCGCACAGATCTTGGACGTTGCTGCCCACTCGTTCCTTAGGAAGTGATGGATTTTTGATGGGCGGTGGGGCCCCCCCTTGGTGAGGAGACTTCTGTCCAGAGTCCTGTTGTTGAGATATTGTGGTACTTAGATATCACGAAATGAACTGCTCACGCACACCTTCAGGCAATCAAAGGTAAGCAAGGCTGCGCCGGGCCGATTGTAGTTTCGTTGCGTGGCCGAACATACACATCTACAGGCTCTTCCTGGAAAATAAAAGCTTTCGCAGCGGTACTCTTGGAATGAAGTGTCTTCTCGAGTATGCTGGTCTCGGTACGATGCATTGCTGCTCCTGTCAAGCAGGTGTTCAGGGCTGGCCGCCTTACATAGTTTATCCTCAAGTTCCGGTTTTTGGCGCTGAGTCCGAAGCCTGGAGCCCTTAGCCTTAGCCCAACACGAGTTCCGGCAAGAAAGAGGAGCCTTGCATGCAGGGAGTCAACTCCACCCACCACGACGGAGCGATGGCGGCTGCCAAGCTTGGCTCACCCGCCCGTTTAGGTTCTGCTTGATGTATTGGGATCGTCTTCAGAACTACAGGAGATGGTTGCGCTTAAGGTCACGGCCAAGGGCTGATTTCCTGCAGCCTTGGGTCTTTTGCAGGCTCGACCGCAGTGTGTAGATGTAGGTGCATAATGTTGGTTCATTACATGTAAATCTGTTTGAGCATCGAACATTACCTGCCAGGGCAATTATGCACCTGTCTCAAACCTCAACTTGAAGTCATCTCAACCTCAACAAAGAAAGTCAAACTTGAAGTTTCTGATCGATGTCTCGCTTGAATGAATTTGTGGCATGTAGCCGGAGAACGTTGCAACTGGCGGCCTAGTCTGTCCGCCAGGCTCTAGCCGCTAAAAGACACCACCACCACCACCACCACCAATCTGCGACGACCTCCAGAAGCATTTGCCCGAAAGCCCTAGCTCACCTTAATTGTGACTGCCAGAATGAGCCCTTCCCCATCCATCTTCAGTCCCAGAAAGCCTGAAGCCCGAGGCTTCTATGGTGTGTCAGTAGCTGCCAAGCGGTTCGAAACCTCCTTGCCTATCTCAACTTATATGATTAGCAAAGAAGACAGGTTCTGTTTAGTTGATAGCTCTATTTGCGGGGGTTGACTCCTACAGAACTCACCGTCATCAGTCATTCACGAAATGCTCGTGGTTTACGCGTTCTGTTCTTCTTAAACGAGGAGCTTTAGTGTACCCTTCACAGATTCACAACCACTGCCCTTTCAGGATCCTCCCGAGAGATGCTTGCATGATCACTAGACGTGCTAAAGCCGCAGCCGTTGCACGTCGAGAGCCCAAGCTTGTGTCACATGCTGTTGCATGACCCTCAGCCATGAATGCTGCACGAATGGGCTGGCCGTGGCCACCTCGGCTGCATGTTTTGCGGTTCTGCACCTGGGAGTTTTGCCGGCCTGGACGTCGATCTGATCTTGGTACTGCCACTTCTGTTTCTGGCATGGGTTGTGCTGATGCCAGCAACAGGAGGACAGGAACTTTGTGTCTCGGTCGCTGGTGCTTGCGAGATAGGCAAGCAGAGAGAGCCTCTCAGCAGCTGTGCTTTGCTACGAGAGCGTCCTGCAGCAGGCCCAAGAAGGCAGGTTCCCGTCAAAGCAGGTTCAACGGCGTGCACTGGTGCAGAAAGCGTCAGACGTTTGTTGCGAGAGTATGGTTTCAAGGAAGAGTTCACTTTGTGGGATATTTCTCGAATGACACGGAGGCAGCCTGCGCCTTTGATGCAAAGTTGCGTGCAATTTGCACAGACCCTGTGCGATTGAAGAAATCCTTGAATTTCCCCAGGAAGGAGGAGGCATCCTATGAAGAACCGTTGTCGGAGAGGCGCTCCCGGGGCCTGAAAAAGAGCTTCAAAAGCCTTGCCAAAGATGTGGAGTCGTTGCGGCGTTTGCAGCATCGCTTCTCGAAATCTCCACAGGCGTCAGAGTTTGAGATTGTCAACATTCCCTCCCAGTCGCGAGTTGATGCTTTGTTTCAGCCCCGGGGGTCGAAGAGCGGAGGCTTGCCCCTTCAGCTGAAGTCTTCGAGCCGCCACAAGAGCGGTAGTAGTCAGTATTATTTCTTTTCGGGGACAAGGGGCTATGACGGCATGCTCCTGGTTTTGATCGCCCTGGACCGTGACATGATCTGGATGGTTCCCGGAAGCGAGGTGTCCCAGAAACAGCTTGCAGTAACACTTGGGTCCGAACGAGAGAAGGCATGGCGAGCGAGCCACCTTGGGCTTGCGCTGGTGGAGTACTTCAAGAAGGGCAGACTGCCGCAGATTTCAATGAAGGATGCATTGCTGCAGTGCGGCGGAAGCCACATTGTGGAAGAGCATGCCCATGCCCAACTTGCTTCGGTACTTGGCTCAGTTGGGCTTCGGCTTCATCGGCCGGCCAGTGTGTCTGATACAGTGGACTCTGTGCTCAGCTGGCAGGAACAAAATGAGTGG